TATATATTTATTCACCCAAACTAGTTGGTGTATGCATATACCCAACAACCACTGTGTTAAATAATACAGGTCTTGCAAGTTCTCAAGTCTGAAAAATTACAATCTCATGGATGACCTCATATTAAAAAAAAATGCTTCATTTGGGATTCTACAAGAGTTGATTTTATTGTCAGCTTATCTTTTTTTTAAAAAAAAAATCTGTTAACAACCATGCTAAGCTCATTGTAGTTTTAGGAACGTTCACAGTTGTATTGGATTTTTAAGGATTCATTTTTATTTTAAATGTTGATTTAAGAAAGACACTATTGCCAGATTAGCACTTATGTGGAGCAAAGTTATACTGTGCATTGGTAGCCCTTCAGTAAAAGAAGTTTTAAACAATTTTGTTTACATGTTGTCATTGCCTTGGATACTGTATGGAACATATCGCATATATATCATTGCATCAAATAAAAGGGTATAAGGGTTCATACTTCTGCAGTAATTATATTGCAATTATTTTTTTAACTAGGAATTTTATTTCAGTATATTTTTTTGTCTGTGTAGGATATGGAAGCTGGAGTGAACTGGCAAAAGCACTGGAAGACCAAAACAAACCGAGAGTCAATCCAAGTCTTAAGTTCTATTTGCCTGTAAAGACAAACATTCAGGTAAACAAAACAAAGAAGATTATGTGGATTAAGAGATGTGCTTAAATAGACACAGTTTTTGAATGAAACTGCATTAAAAATACCCACATCTAACAAATGTAACAATGGAACATAGTGGAAGTAGGAATGGAATCCTGATTTGTTATTAAAGGTTATTGCCCCTCACCCCCATATGAATCATTTTCACATTAAACAGGTAAACCTCGACTCTTGGGTGCAATTAAAATAGCTGTACAGGGTTCCCATCTATGACTATTTTGTGTTGATCATAATTCTAGCAGGGGCCTAAAATGAACCAATCCTTGCTACAAAGCCTAGGCACAAATTGTTTTCAGAACTTTTTGGACTAGCTTTAGATCTTCATTGCTGAGTTTGAAAAGACAGATATACAGGTAGTCCTCAATTTACAGTCACAATTTTTGAGCCAAACATTTCTGTTGCTAAGCAAGACATGGTTAAGTGAGTTTTCTTAAGGTTACTTTTTGTCACAGTTCTTAAATGACTCACTAAAATTGTAAATCTGGCTTCCCCGTTGACTTTGCTAGTCAGAAGGTCACAAATGATGATCACATGACTTCAGGGCAGTGCAACTGTCATATATACATGCCAGTTGCCAAGGGTCCAAATTTTGATCACGTGACCATGGGAATGCTGCAATGGTTGTAAAGTATGTAAAACAATCATAAGCCATTTTTTTCAGTGACGTAACTTCGAATGGTCACTAAACAAATATTTGTAAGTTGTATACTGTATTTTGCTGGATAGTCCCAGCTTCTTGTTAAGGGCAGGCTACACATCCAAATAAATATAAGGTAAAGGTAAAGGTTCCCCTCACATGTATGTGCATCTCTGTTACAAAGCCAAAGAGCCAGCCCTGTCCAAAGACATCTCCGTGGTCATGTAGCCGGCATGACTAAATGCCAAAGGCACAGGGAACGCTGTGACCTTTCCACCAAAGTGATTCCTATTTTTCTACTTGCATTTTTACATGCTTTTGAACTGCTCGATTGGCAGAAGCTCACTCCATTATGTGGTGCTAGGGATTCGAATCGCCGAACTACTGACCTTTTTGATCGATAAGCTCAGCATCATATCCACTGAGCCACCGCATCCCTAAAATCAGTATAGTACCTTCTTGTTGATTCCTCTTAGTTGCCTAAACTGCAGTAAAGCTTGAAGGAACAAACCAAACCAGAATTAGCAGCTGGTAATTGTGGTTGCGTTTGCCTAAAAAAAGTTGGCTCAAGATCCAGATACAAGACAATATTTTCAGGGAGGAATGGGACATTTCTACCATTCTGACATACTAATCATCATTTCCATTTTATTGAGCATGGTTATCTTACAGCCACCACTTCCCAAGAGATAGCAAGAGGATTAAAAAGCATGACAGGTTCTTAAAGGGGGGATTCTAAAAATTGAAGTGTTGATGGCATAGCTGCCAACTCTGTTCCGTGAAAATCAAAAATGACAAGTGGATGATTAAACCTGCTAGTTTAGCTTTGCAGTGCAATTATTCAAGATGAGATTAAAAATGCTTGTGTATGGATGAAAAAAAGAAAAATCAAATGCCCAAGTATAAGATGAGGAGTGGAATATCTGACGGAGTTATGATGGTGTTTGTGAAAGTAAATGTTAGAGTTATAAAAGGGTATAATTTGCAAATCACAGAAAGTAATAACTCCATTCCAGTTTGCATTGGCCAATTCTGAGGACCACACTTTAGGGAAGGATCTAGTCTAGAGAAATTGGAATAACTTCTAAAAAACTTAACAAAAGATATCTATGGAGATTCTCAGTCATAGTTGTCTCAAAGGTGCTTTTTCAAAAAGCAACTGGAAATTTCTTTTGTTTCAATGCACATCTTCAAGAAAAAACAAAGTCCAGTTGCCTTTTTGGGAAAAAAAATCCATCTTTGGAACATAACAAAAGATGAAACAAGATTTAGAAAGATAACTGAGTAAGTTGTGGAAAGATAATGTTAAAGGTTGTCACATAAATCAAGATCAATTTTTCCTTTCATTTCAGAATTTAAATTGCTAGAATATTGGGACAGTAAAGATTGCAAAATATATATATATATATATCCATGGACCTATATTTACATTAGTTAGAGGCTAATCTTTCTTATTGATATAACTTCTATATCAGTGGTTCCCAACCTTTTTTTCGCCCCACACCCCTAAAGAAATTTCACTCGAACCTTGCACCCCCTGAAATTTAGACTTTAGGAACTACTGAACGCATTAAATATATGGTAGGATTGAATCTTTTCAGCTATGTATGTGACAGCCACTAAATAACGATACTTAACTCTAAAATGAAAACAAAGTTAATCCATTGCATAATAAATAAAAATGCCAACATATAGCCAATATCCTATTATTTACCTGGACTTTTCTTGCACCCCCTGGAATATTGTCTCGCACCCCAGGTTGGGAACCCCTGTTCTATATCATGCAATCTGTGATAGATCTCAGAGGGAAAAGGTATGTGTGCAAATTTAGCATTTCCAAATACTTGTAAATCTTTAAAACTGTGTTCAGCTGCACGCACAAAAAGAACCTCAACTTTTTCTTTTGTTTTTCCCTCTCATGAATTTAGAACCAAACACAACAAAAAAGTTGGAGCAATAGGACCACTTCTGCAACATTGGAGAACATTGCTTCCGAGATATCCAAGGTTAATCTCTCTATATATAAAATCTCTTTTCTATAAAGTTGTATAACTAGAATAAATATAGTTAGCAATAGCACTTAGGCTTATACAACACCTCATAGTGCTTCACAGCCCTCTCTAAATTGTTTGCAGTCAGCATATTGTCCCCAACAATCCATGTCCTCATTTAAATCGAACTTGGAAGGATGAGCCAACCTTGAGCTGGTCAGAATCGAATTGCTGGCAGTGAGCTGAATTAGCCCACAATATTGCATTCTAACCACTGTGCCACCACGATGGCCTCAGAAAAAAATGACTTACATCCTGTCTTTTCACCACTCCACGGTTCCAGGATTGCAATTCGGGCACTTGGCAAATGCTATTCATGAGGGTTGCAGAATCTTGTGGTCCTGTGATCACCTGATTTGTGAGCTTCCCAGCTGGCTTCCAACAGGCAAAGTCAATTGGATTTGCTTAACAACTGTGTGATCCACTTCTCAACCTCATGGTTCACTTAATAACTGCAGTGAAAGAGTTGTAAGATTGGATCTAGCCATGTGATGACTCACTTTATGACCAGATCAATTTACAGTAGAAATTCTGCTCCCAGCTGTGGTTGTAAGTCAAAGTGTACCTATATTTAAAGTCTATGAACAATCTTGGCCTTCTCTTCCATGTATTGAATTGTGGTACCTAAAGCAGCAGAGGTGTTTATTCCTTATATTTCTTTCATAATGGAGTTTCACAAGTTTCCTCTGAATCTATTGTGACTTAAAATTATGTGAAAGTAGTTTAAGGCAGTATATGTAATTCACTTTTTAGTGGATAGAATCCTATAAATATAAGTTTAAATATTCTTGAAGCATCAACACAATGTCTCTGTTTTTCCAGGCTCCTTTTTATCTAATTTATTTTCATTGGCATTTTCACATTCTCCATATTGCCGTACATGTAGCTGATTTGCTCCAGAGATAGTGAACTGCCAGACATTTTTTTTTTTAAAGGACAAAGCTATTCCTTTCTTCCTTTCATAGCAACAAGGGTTGAAAGGGGCCTTTCCCGACAAATTATGAGGGTTGCTTTGTTTTGTCTCACTGAGCACCAGCCAGTCTCCCTTTCATCATGCACAACTGCTGTCCCCAAATGTTATGCTGCACAGATCCTAGGCAGCTGGGATTGAGCATCTGACACTGAGAGGTAGCTGTGGTTAGTGTAGTGGGGCAGTGGGACAGTTCCGGGTAACCGGAACAATACTAATGCAATCCTAAGTTGCATTAACAGAGGGATACAATCAAGATCAAGTGAAATACTAATACCACTCTATAAAGCCTTAGTAAGACCACACCTAGAGTACTGCATCCAGTTTTGTTCACCACATTATAAAAAAGATGTTGAGACTCTAGAAAAAGAACAGAGAAGAGCAACCAGGATGATTAGGGGTCTGGAGGCTAAAACATACAATGAACGGTTGCAGGAACTGGGCTTGGCTAGTCTAGTAAAGAGAAGGACCAGGGGAGACATGATAGCGGTCTTCCAATATTTGAGGGGCTGCCCCAGGGAGGAAGGGGTCAAGCTATTTTCTAAAGCGCCTGTAGGCCAGACAAGGAATAATGGATAGAAACTGAACAATGAGAGATTTAACCTGGAAATAAGGAGAAACTTTCTGACAGTGAGAAGAATCAACCAATGGAACAGCTTGCCCTTGGAAGTTGTGGGAGCGCCATCACTTGAGACTTTCAAGAAGAGATTGGACTGCCATTTGTCAGAAATGGTGTAGGGTCTCCCGCTTGGGTGTGGGGTTGGACTAGATGACCTACAAGGTCCTTTCCAATTCTGATTATCTGTTATCAGGCGCAAGACCCAGTGAAACCCAGTGAAACCTCTCACATACCAGCAGAAATAGGTCTGCATGCCACTTCTGGCACACGTGCCGTAAGTTCACCATCACAGGTCTAGGACAACCCTCTGCGGCCAACTCACTGCAGGACAGCTTGCTGTAGGACAATATTGAAGAAATGGTGGAATAGATTCATTAAAGGAAGAGGAAGGACAAAATAAAATGTGAATGACAACAATGAAAAAATTTTATTATTTTTTAAAAAATTATTTTAAATAATTAAATTGAATTGTTGAGTTGTCCCATGGCGAGTTGTCCATGCAGCAAGTTGGCCTAGGCGAATTGTCCTGTGATGAAGTGGCTGCAGCAAATTTTCCCATTCCGCATTCACCCATTCATCTTTTGGCTCTCTGATGCTCACCAGACTCTGCCCAAGAAATGAGCTGTAGCTTCTGAGGTTGCATGGGCTTTTCTCCCCAGCTGATTTCCTCTCTTAGCCTCCTTT